GGTGTTGTGTTGAGCTTCACCCAGAGCCTCCACCCTCTCTCTACTTTGCATCAGCCCTGTTTGCTCAGGACTCCATTGTGGGTTTATCCCAGTTTTTCACAGCCCGACATAGTACAATTTTTTTTTCTTTTAATTCCATTTAAGTTCCCACTTTGCATCTTCACTGGCAGCAGCTCGATGAAGGTATGCTTTTCACAGCCTACTTCTTGTGCTTGTGTGGGGCTTGTCAGGGTTTACTTGGAGCTGGGGCTTTGACAGCCTCCTCTCATCCCGCACCCCAAGCTGCAGGCGAGCGGGCAGGCTGTAGGAAGTGTAGCGGGGCAGAGTGCCGTGGATTTGGCAAGGAAACRCGACCTGCCTCCGCTGTGAACTGTGCAGGGTGAAGAGCTGCAGCCGGTCTGCAGGGCTTGGTGTGGWGCAGTGGCTGGCTGCTTGACCCTGTGCTTTGGAGTGTCTCACTCCATGAAACAAACCCAAATACCCAAATACAAAACTTGCCCTGTAAAGAGGTGTGAGACCCACAAGACACGGGACCTAACTGGTGCACGCCCTCGCTTACCTCTGCACGTGACATCTGAGATCGCTGTGCTCAGGTGCAAGTAAGTCCTGTCTTCACAGAGCTTATTTTAAATGCTAGCAGGTTTGCGAGTTCCACGTCCTAATTAGGTTGCCAAAAAGCATCTCTAATGTGTTTAGATATGTTGTTGCCTTTTTTTGCCCTCTGGCTTCTCTTTATTATCAGACACAGTAAACAGCGGCCTGGTTGGCTGCCTCGGCATCGCTTGCTGTTTATAGGCCTCCCACCATATCCTCTTGCTGCTGTTTCCGGACCGAAGCTGTTGGCTGTGGGTGGTTAACACTTCCATTCAGATGAGCTGTGCCAATTTATAGCCAGCCCAGGCGCTGGAAGATTAAAGAGAATTTTTTATGGGGAAGGTTCGCGCTGTGCCCTTGGAGTGACCTTTGAGGAATGTCTTAATCTCTCTGGGAACCACTGGCATGTCGCAGAGGCACCACAGCAACGATCATTTTAGGTTGGAGAGCTTGGAACAACTGCCTCTGAGCCCCAGACTTGAGTTCCCTTGCTCCCTCAGCTGAAGTCGCACCTTCCCCTAACCAGGTGTGTGGATCAGCAGGAGAGGAGAGCAGGTCCCATGGGAAGTCATGCCCTACTCTGCTCCTGTTCGCYGAGAGCAGCCATGCTGAGGAGCAGAAGTAAAGCGCTGCTCAGCTCTCCTCTTCCTGTGGCTGGAGTGTTCCTTGGGGCTTTTGTCACCTTGTCTGCTCCCTCTCATCCCCCCTTCCACAGAGCTGTCTGTGCTGGCACAAGCACGCAAGGCTGGGGCTGGTGGAAGTGAGGGATGGTTGCAAATAGGTTGGAAGCAACTGTCCGGGCACAGCACATGTGGACCTGTCTGGGAACACTGTGTGAGGAGGGGAGGGAGCTGGCGCAGGGGCTGACGTCAACACCCACTTGGCCAAAGCAGCACTTTGTTTATGAACTGTAGCCATGTGAGCACCATGGTGGTGGGAGAGACAGGGGACAGTGGGGTGTGTGAAGGAGGAAACCCCGTGGGGAGCAGGAGCCTGAGGCTGCAAGTGGCTCCGTGGGTTGGGTTGAATGAGGAGGCAGTGGCACCATCTGCTACCGGCTYTGTGGACAGAGCCTTTTGGGGCTGGCGCTGCCTCAGCCACTGTAGCCCGTTGAGCACCACAGACTTGCTGGTGCTGTGGACAGAGCCCCGGCCCTGCTGCCAGCCCTGTCAGGAGCGAGAGCTGGCATGTGGAGCGGGTTGGCTGCAGTTACTGACCTCCCCTTCTCTCTCCTAGACTGGTGTCGGCRAGTGACCGTGAGTCCCGTCTGGAAGAAGTGCGTTCTGCCTTTCTGGCAAGCTACAGCCGGACCATCGGCCTAAAGGCCGTGCCCCCCAGCCCCTCAGGGGCCATCGGTGGCCTCCTCGAGCAGTTCGTGCGGGGCGTGGGACTGAGAGGCAGCAGCACCCTCTGAACACGACGTTCCCAGACCACTGCCTGGAAAACTGGGGCTGGCACGTCCCCCCTCAGAGTCCTGGGACCCTCTTCTCAGTGCGGGCACCTGCTGCACACAGCGCCCGCCGCCGGCCCCCCCTGCCTGGGGCTGGGGGGTGCGGGGTCTTCGGCGAGTCTCTGCAGTAAATGACCCGAGCTGTGCCCTCTCCTGCCTCCTCTCTGGGCTGCGGGCGGGGGGTGGCGCGGGGGAGCCGCGCTGTCGGGGGCGCCGCTCAGTATAAATAGCCCGGCCCACGTTCCGCGAGCGTCGGCACCGAAATAACACTGAGCCGAGCCCGGGAGGAAGCCCCCGGCGGGGCGGGATGGGGGCTGAACCCCCTCTGCCCCTGAGTGGGAATCGCGAGCGGGAGGTCCCGGTGGAGCCGAGCCCCAGGGGCTGAACGCTCTGGTGCCCGGGTTGGTGCTCCCACTGCCGGCACGGAAGGGCCGTCTTGCTCGAGATGTGCTGAGCCGTGCCTGTGCCGTGCCTGTGCCGTGCCGTGCCGTGCCGTGCCGTGCCGTGCCGTGCCCGTGCCGTACCCGCCCCCGGGCGCGCCTCCTCGGCGGCGCGGGAGGAGGCGGCGCGGAGCATCGGCGGCACCCGGGCGGGGATGGCGGCTCCGGGAGCGCTGGAGCCGGCGACCGGCAGCGTGCCGGGCACCAAGGTGGAGCTCACCGTGTCCTGCCGGTGAGCCGGGAGCCGGGTGGGGGAGCGGGAGGGCGGCGGCTAGTCCGTGGACWCGGGTGGGTGCGAAACGGACCGGGATGCGCTGTGGGGCTGCTCGCTGCGTCCCGCTGCCCACCGCTCAGCCTCTGGCTCAGGGGTTTGTGAGCTGCGCGTCCTCCTCACTCCCCGGGTAGGTCTCGGTGCCAGGGCGTGTGCCCAGCGCCCCTCTGCCCCGCTGCCACCCGTCCCGTCCCCTTCACGGGGTCCCATGGGATGGTGGMACGGGGCACGGCTGCGTGAAGCGACCCGATGCCCTCACCCGGGCTTGGGGCGCGGGACGGCCCCTTGCAGGGCGATATTTGTGGGATGTGGGTGATGCCGGCGGGGCKCGGGGTGCCGGCGCTGGCTGCGAGCGGCTGCTCGGCTCTGCCCGGCTCTGCGAGCTCGGTGCAAGGCAGCGGGACCGGGAGCGCGGCAGCGTTGGCGACGGCGGGACAGGGGCTGTGGGAGGGGGGCTGCTCGGTGCCCCGGCTCCTGGCCAGGGTCCGCTGGGCGAGCAGCGGCGGCTGAGCCGATCTGCCGGCGGCTAAATATAGCCCGTCGGAGGCACCGCTGCCCGCGGYCGGGGGTCCCGCTCACAGGGACAGGCACCAGCGTCCTACTGGGGCGGCAGTGTCCCCATGCCATGGGCCGGGGTGTCCTGTGGCATGGAGCACCCCGCTCGGGGTGGGCAYCTCCAGCACATCCCCGAGCTGTGCAAACTCTGGGCCGGGCCGGGGGCTGCTGTGCTTTCTCCCCGCGGCTGAGYCCTGTCGCCCGCCGCCAGATTCCCGGACAGCAGGCAGAGGGGCGGTGGGGCCGCAGGACCAGACAGCTCCAGGCAGGGACCGGGGGTCACACCTGGAGACAGCCCAGGGCAGGGGCTGCCTACGGCTTCGCAACCCCAGGACTCAGCCCAGTCCGGCGTGGGTCTCTCTCCTGCGCGCTGGGGCCAGAGGAGCTGGCTGAGCCCCGCAGCCCCCGGCCGTGCCCCAGCCCACCCTGTGCTGCCACCCCGGGGGTGCGGGAAGTATCCCAGCAGAGCCGGTCGCAGCCCCCGGCACTTTCCGGTGTCACACCGCGCACAGGACAACGATCAATCGCTCTGCCGGTAGCTGTGTCGGGGGCTGCCCACTGGCTGCTCAGCCCCTGCTCCAAGTGTTCCCTTTCTTCTCACTTCTGCACCCCGCCATTAGCCAAGCTCCTGCTGCCGGGGCGCGGCGGGCACTCAGCCGGCGCCGGCGGCACCGGGGAAGGTTTCATCYTGTAAATGGGTTCCCTGTCATGTTCAATCATCATCATCAGCGCTGAAGACGCTGCTCCCCGCTCGCCCCGCTGCCCCACCGAACCTTGCAGAGGGAGCCAGCGTGTCTCCCAGGAGTGCCGCCGCTCTCAGCCATGGGTGTCAGCACGGCCTTCTGGCATGATGCTGACCCGTGAACAGGGGGATGGACATGGGGACCCGTTCTGGTGCCAGGTCAGTGGTGCTCAGGGTGGCTCACGCCTGGCTCTTCCCCCCAGGAACCTGCTGGACTTGGACACCTTCTCCAAGTCTGATCCAGGTGGGTGGTGGAGCCGGGCAGGGGCACGGCATGGCACAGACATGGCACGGCACGGCAGCCTGGCTCTGCTCCTCTCTCCGCAGTGGTGGTCCTCTTTGTGCAGGTCTCGGGGAGCAGCGAGTGGAAGGAGGTGAGCGTGGCCCCCTCTCCTGGCTAATCCCCGGCTGGGTTAAACGGGCCCATATGGCCACCCGTGGCCACGCTAATGATCCCTCCCCGTCCATGCTAATGATCCGGCCCCGCCAGCAGCGCTAATCCCCCACCGGGATTAGCGCCGAGGCAGCTGCGATGGGGACGGGTCCTGGGGGGGCCACCCTCACCCCTCTCCCTGCAGTTCGGACGCACCGAAGTGATCGACAACACCCTGAACCCCGACTTTGTCCGCAAGTTTGTCCTCGACTACTACTTCGAGGAGAAGCAAAACCTTCGCTTCGATGTGTGAGTAGGATGGCCAGGGAAGGGCTTGGCCCCACTGAGGGTGGAACAAAACCCCGAGTCAGTAATAAATAAGGATAATAAAAAAGGACACAGTGTCCAATAGCCCGGATGGGTGGGAAAGCGGGGCTGTGTGCTGGAGCATCCCCGCAGGCACCGGCTCAGGGCTCTGCTCTCCCACACCAGCTACAACGTGGACTCCAAGAGCTGTTCCGCTTTAAAGCAGGTGAGCACAGCCTGTGCCGGGGGGATGTGTAGTGACACCCCGGTGTGATGCCATGGTGGGACACCCCGAGGCTGTGCCCTGTGTGGGCACTGTCGGGGGGGACACGTTTTCTCCCTCAGAGGGCTCTAACCTGCTCTCCATCTCTCTGTGCTCCATGGGGACTGGCAGAAGGTAGGTGTCTGCTACACACCAACCCCTGCACTGCCCTGGGAACCCAGCCCTCTGGGACTGCCTGGTGGGGCACGATGGGGCTAGTACACAGCATGGGGGTGGCTTTTGATGGGCACGATGGATGTAGGGTGGCCCAAGGGGTCTCAGACAGATCAGGGCATATAGGGCAGTTTGGGGGGTTTAGGACTGCGTGCTGGCCCTGGGGGCAAAAAGTGAGTGTAAGGCATATGGAATGGGCACCTGGAGTAGTCCTGGGGATGCATAATGAGTCCTGGGCTCTGAGGTGGCACTTGTGCATATTCAGGGCACTTGAGGTCACCCAGAGTCAAGTTGGTGACAGGTCCCATGGGTGTGTTGGGAGAGAAAAGGGTGGGTGTAGGTKCTGGGAGACTGGGGAAACAACCCTCCAGGGTCTCACAGCAACTTTGTTCGGGGCACAGGACTTCCTGGGACAGGCATTCGTGGCGCTGGGGGAGGTGATTGGGTCCCAACGGGGACGTCTGGAGAGACCCCTCACGTRAGTCACACCCTGTGGTAAGGTGAGGTGGGGGATTCCACACGGTGTCTCCATCTCCTGCCCCACTGGACCCCTCCATGCACATCCTGGGCTACGGACTCCAGTCACACTGCCAGCACCAGCTGTGGGACARCAGCCCCAGCCCTGACCCCAGCTCTTGCCCCTGAACTGTCCTCCTTGTCCCCAAGCTGACTGTATGCCTCTCATCCCAGGGGTGTCCCGGGGAAGCGGTGTGGGACCATCCTGCTGCTGGCTGAGGAGCTGAGCAACTGCCGGGTGAGTGCCCATGTACCAGCTRCAGTGAGGAGAGGGCTGCATGGTCCCTCAGCACAGCAGCTGCTGGTGTCAGGGGTGAGGAGGTGGCTGGCAGTGACAGTCCCCGTCCCCAGGATATTGTCACGATGCAGCTGTGCGCCAACAAGCTGGACAAGAAGGACTTCTTTGGAAAATCCGACCCTTTCCTCGTCTTCTATCGCAGCAATGAGGATGGCACGTGAGCGCAGGGACCCAGTGGGGCAGGCAAGGTGCCCATGTCAGCATATGGCATGGCCCAACCCTGCCCTGTCCCCCCAGCTTTACTATCTGCCATAAGACAGAGGTGGTGAAGAACACGCTCAACCCGGTGTGGCAGCCCTTCACCATCCCCGTGCGCGCCCTCTGCAACGGCGACTATGACCGGTACAGGAATGGGGATGGGGACAGGGACAGGGACAGCCATGGGGCCAGAGCAGGGTGTGAGCAGTTCTTCGTGGGCTTGGCCCCCCCAGTGGCAGGCGGCTCAGAGCTGGGTCCTGATTGGGGCTTTTTCATTTTTGCAACCCAAATTACATAAAGGCATCCCCCTCCTTTCCAGGGCCCCCACCGTGACCCAAATTTCCCGCTTCCCTCCCRGCAGAGCCGCAGGCTGGGCAGGCAGGGCGGCTCTGCTGGCAGCTGGTGGGCAGGGTGCTCACTGCAGGTTGGGTGTGGGGCTGGGTGTCCCCAAATCAGGGGCTATGCCAGCCTGGCTGGCAGCTCACCCACYGTACACCTTTGCTTTCAGGACGGTGAAGATAGATGTGTATGACTGGGACCGGGATGGGAGGTGAGGCCGTGCCTGTGGTGTGCCAAAGGACATCAGGGTGCTGCTGAAGCTTCCCAGGACACCTCTTACCCAGGGGCCTGGCCATGCTGACCCTGTGCTCCTCCTGCAGCCATGATTTCATCGGRGAATTTGCGACCAGCTACCGGGAGCTCTCTCGAGCACAGAGTCAGTTCACAGTGTATGAGGTAGGGCGGTGGCTCAGGGCGAGGACAGRGTGCACTCCATGCTGGGACCAACTCACTCCTGCACCTGCAGGTGCTGAATCCCAGGAAGAAATGCAAGAAGAAGAAATATGTGAATTCCGGCACCGTGAGTGGGGTTGGGGAGTTCCTGGGCCTCCTGCCTTCCAGGGGCTGGTGCTGCTCCACCTGCTGTGCCTGCCAGGTTASGGGGGCTCCAGATCTGATCCCCTGTGCCCACAGGTGACACTGCTCTCCTTCTCTGTTGAGTCTGAGTTCACCTTCGTTGACTACATACGGGGCGGGTGAGTGGGGGGCCGGGAGCCCCCCGGCTCCTCGAGATCCCMCATGGCTGAGGGTCTCGGGGTGAGGACAGTGGTGACAGCAAAGGTGCAGCCTGGGGTGACAAGGGGGCAGTGGGGCTGGGCAGTAGATGCAAAAGGGGGCACGGGGGGGGGCACAGGGCTGTGGGGTGCTGGCTGGGGGAGGGGTGCAGGCAATGGGTCTGGGCTGGGAAACACCGGCACTATGGGGCTGGAAGATGGTATCCCTCTGCCGTGGGGCCGGCAGCCTCCCTCGCTCTCCCCCTAAAGGACGCAGCTGAATTTCACTGTTGCCATTGACTTCACGGCCTCCAATGGTGAGTGTACCTGGTGTCTGGGGGGTCCCCGTCACCGTGGGGCTGGCCATGGGGTGGATGTGACGGGCACTGTGCTGCAGGGTTGCCATCTCAGCCCACCTCATTGCACTACGCGAGCCCCTACCAGCTGAGCGCCTACGCCCTGGCACTGAAGGCAGTGGGGGAGATCATCCAGGACTACGACAGTGACAAGCTCTTCCCTGCGTATGGCTTCGGTGCCAAAGTCCCACCTGAYGGCAAGATCTCCCACCAGTTTCCTCTGGTGCGCCCTCCCTGTGGGGCAGGGCTGAGGGGGARCCCAGATCTCCTGGCTGTGGGGCAGGCCTTGGGGTGCCTACAGCAGCTTGGTGGGGAGGGGAAGCACCCTGGCCGCATCACACCCCAGCATCCTGCAGCCTGGGGGATGCCAGGAGCTGTGGTCCCCCTCCAAGCACCCATCTCTGTCCCCAGAACAACAATGCAGAGAACCCCAGCTGTGCTGGCATTGAAGGTGTGCTGGAGTCCTACCTGCAGAGCCTCCGCACCGTCCAGCTCTACGGTCCTACCAACTTTGCTCCTGTCATCAACCAGGTGGCTGGGTGAGCACTGGGGCACTGTCCCCTTTGCCATCCCCAAATGCCATCTGTCCCACAGCAGGGCTGACTGCCCCATACCAGTGGGGTGCTTGAGGGACCCCATCCCTTTTCCCAATAGGACAGCCGCCCAGGTGACTGACGGCTCACAATACCATGTCCTTCTCATCATCACTGACGGTGTCATCTCTGACATGCTGCAGACCAAGGAAGCCATTGTCACTGTGAGTGCACCCTCATTGCTCTGAGCTCACCCCACATGGGCAGTACCCTGGCTCACAGCCAGCCTCTGCTCCACAGGCTTCCTCCCTGCCCATGTCCATCATCATTGTGGGAGTAGGTCCAGCTGAGTTTGAGGGTGAGTYGGGACTTGGGGATACCAGGGAAGAGGGATGGAAACATCATCCCTTCCTCTGGGATGCCAAAGGCATCCAAAGGGCTGGTGTTTCCATCCCTGGTGTTCACCCCACCGAGGCTTGGTGACACCAGCTGTCACCCCCAGCCATGGAGGAGCTGGAYGGTGATGAGGTACGGTTGTCTTCCCGGGGACGTTATGCCGAGAGGGACATTGTACAGGTAACTCTGGCATCAAATTCAGACCCACCGTGGGTGAGAGATGCTCAGTCCCCYTTGTTGACCCCCACAACAACAGAGTTGTTTCCAACTGGACTGCAAACTTCTTGCCCTCAAAGTTTGTGCCATTTCGGGATTACGTGGATGACTCGGGCAACCAGGTGCTGAGCATGGCCCGCCTGGCCAAGGACGTGCTGGCTGAGATTCCTGAGCAGCTGCTCTCCTACATGAAGACCCGKGACATCAAGCCTCGCCGGGCAGATCCTGAATAGCTCTTCCATTAGCCATGGGACTGGCTGGTGGGGCAAGGATATGCCACCTTCCTTCTGCTGGTGGCCGGGGCTTAATCATGGAAGTGTGGCCCMCCCACTAGGGAGATAATGAGCTGCTATGGTTGGTGAAAACAGGGCTGGGACCCGCTTCTGGCAGTGAGACTACAGGGCTGGATATCCTCGTCTGCCCCTTCCTCCTGCCCGATGGCCAGCATTAAGGCAGGACTGTCCCTTGGCTGTGGCAGTGCGGGCAGAGCCAGTGCCTGGGGGGACACGGTGTGTGTGTGTCTGTGTGTGTGTGAGTGTGTATGTGTGTGTGTGTGTGAGTGTGTATATGTGTGTGAGTGTGTGTATGTGAGTGTGTGTGAGTGTGTGTATCTCTGTGTGTGTGTGTGAATGTGTGTGAGTGTGTGTGTGTGTGTCTCTGTGCGTCTGTCTGTATCTGTCTGTGTCTGTGTGTGTGTCTGCGTGTCTCTGTGTGTCTCTGTGTGTCTGTCTGTATCTGTCTGTCTGTGTCTGTCTGTCTGTATCGGTATGTGTCTGTGTGTGTGTCTGTCTGTCTGTGTTTGTGTGTGTCTGTATGTGTCTGTGTGTGTGTGTGTGTCTTTGTGTGTCTGTATCTGTGTCTGTATGTGTCTGTGTGTGTGTGTCTTTGTGTGTCTGTATCTGTCTGTGTCTGTATGTGTCTGTGTATGTGTGTCTGTGTGTGTGTGTGCGTGTCTGTGTGTGTGTCTGTCTGTCTGTGTGTGTCTGTATGTGTCTGTCTGTGTGTGTGTCTGTCTGTCTGTGTGTGTCCCGGGAGGGCAGCCTGCCGTCTCCCCCAGGGGAAGGCTGACCCTGGGTGCCTGCCGGAGGTCTCAGCCCTGTTTCTCCTGGGGGCAGCGGCCTCGCCCTGCTCCTGCCTGCGCCCCATTCCTGCCTGCACCCCGCTCCTGCCTGTGCCCCCTCCTCCGGCTCTGCTGACCCGGACTGGCCGGTCTGCCCCATGCCCTGCCCCACGGCCGGGGCTCCCGCCGCCGGGGGGTGTCGGGGCGGAGGGCAGGAGGGTCTCTACCACGTTTCCGACTGTAAATAAACTGCTCAACCGGGTCTGCTGCCGTGCTGCGGCGGGGAGAGCGGGAACACCAAGGGGGACGGGAGGACCGGGTTGGGCGGGAGAGGCCATGGGACTGAAGGCACCGGGGGGCATGTAGCCGGGCCGGGGGAACCGGAGGACCTTGGGGATGGAGATGACCGGTGGGACCGAGGGGTCCGGAGGGCGCGGGAGGATCGAAGAGGTGAGAGAGGAGACGGGGGCGGCCTGGGGCGGGGCCGGGCGGTGCCAGCGGGGTTTGCGATTCGCGGCGACAGATTCGCCACCGCCACGGCGGCGCGACCCGGCCCGGCCCCGCCGCTCCCACGTGGGCCCCGAGCCCCGCCGTCCCCGCCGCCGCCGCCTTCTCCGTCCCCTCCGTCCTCGCTGCTGCCGCCGCC